ATAGTAGCTGTCCAGAGTTTGGCTCTCACAGCCTTCCTGATGGGCCTCCTCCTGCCTCCTCACCACTCTGAATGCTGGTGGCTCTGGCATGCTGCAGTTCCTGTCCTTGCCTGTCACATCTCTACATCTCTGTCACCTCCCTCACCTGGCATGGCCTTCTCCCCTTACTTTGGCCTGACTCATTCTTCCCACCTGGTTAGGTCAGTTGCCCTTGGATACTCTCTCATCCTCCATTCCAAATGACCTTCTTCTCCCTTCTGGCCCTCCCACAGCACATAGCCTGGGTCTGATCTGACTCTATTCTGTGTCTTTCTCTAAACTGTAAGTTTCTTAAGCCAGGGTCTAGTTTGATTCCTTGATTGGATGTAATATGTCTTTTGCACATTATAGCTGCTCTATATGTGGGTTGGATAAGCAATACGTGCCACAGACTTGTGACCTCCGGAAGGTCTGTGCACCGCTTTGGTACCTCCTGCTGATCTCTGTGCTGAGGCAGTTGGAGGGGGACCTCAAGCTCAACTTTGCGCTCCACTGTCCCCTGCTGGACGTTGCTACTACATCACACCACACAGCCTGGGTCTGATTTGACTCGATTCTGTGTCTTCCTTTAAATGGTAAGTTTCTTAAGCCAGGGTATAGTTTAATTGCTTAAGTAGACTCCTCCTTGCTGAATTTGTCTGCGGCCTCAAAAATCCTTCTGAAGGCACCACTCATTTTTAGTTGCCACAGCCCATCCATCCAAGGTGACAGGTGACAACCAGGTCTCTCTAACCTGTACTGTGAAAAAGTCATGCTAACTTTTTCAAAAGGATTCCTTTGCTTACTTATAGATTTTAAAAAATCAGATTAAAAAGGTTCGGCTTCTTTAAGAAGTCTTAAGCAAGACATAAAGTTTAAAAAATCTTGTCAGAGGTCCTGTTATGTGTCTGAATCCGGCACAGATGCGTGCCTACTACGTTGGGAGGGCAGAGCGAGGAATGCTGTGGTCAGCTTAACTCCTGATAGAAAAGGGGATGGTCATGAGGAAATGTGATGTGAAAAGTAAACACTCACTGGATGGGCAAATCTCAAGCTGTGAAAGACAGACATTTCTGTGTAAACCGGAGCAGAAAGATGGTTTGGATGGAGATCTCCCAGGGAGAAATGGAGTGTTACAGAACACTTTCGATTGTCTTGTTGACAATGAAAATATTACACAGCCTTTTCATACTTCATTGTAATCCCAGAGCAATGTTGGAAGCAGATGGAGGAACTTTCTAGAAATTACTGGAATGCTTCAAACACCTAAGGAAAAGCAGTTTGGCGAGGTGAACTCTCTCACCTACCTTGCTTTATAACAATAGAAGAGGATGTGATCTCCATTTGACTGGGTGAATCAAAGCTGGGGAGGGGATGGGTTTAGGTCATGCAACTAGTAACTGGGGACGCCAGAATTTGAGCCCTGTCTGGCTCTGAGGTTCCAATTCCTTTTCCTCTTCCTTTACCATGGACAGTATGTAGAGCCGTTTCTAAAATGCGTTGAGTCATCTTACTCCCCATTGGCGCTGATATCAGCTGGTGACTTCCGAGTGAATGAAGCCAATGTTTTGCTGAGATGGTGTTTGCAGCCCAGTCTCTTCCATATTTAGACCTTGCCCAGCTACCCCTGCCACTTGGGATGCCCTGAACACAGCCTGGGACTTACAGGACTCTGTGTCTCTGCTCCCGGGTTGCCTGCATCAGCCTTCCCCACCGTCTCTGTCTGTTGAAACCTCACCCAGTGATGCAGAGCTGGTGGAGTTTCTGGGGATGCTTTCCCAATTCCCCTCTGCAGAGTTGACCTCCTTCTCTGGGTCCTCGTGAAACTTGATTCCAGCACCGATGATTCCCTGCCCTGTACAGGAGTAGCTTATTTAGCTCTCTCGTTCTCAGTGGGCTCTCAACTCCAAGAGGTAAGGATGGAGGCTTAATCATCAGCTCCCGGGTCCCAGGACAGCATCAGTCACACAGTGGGGAACTCAGCCATGGAGAGTTGAATTCAGTGAATCATGCTTAGCCTCAGGTGAATCCAGGCCTCTAGGAATTAGCCTTAGGGACCTCCCAAGGTCTCTCTTCTTTGGGAGACCTTGGAGTGTCATAGAATAAAATCCATTACTGACACCTTCCTTGTGGTCCATGTCACCTGCTATTCGGAGACAGGGAAATTGAATTGGCTTGGTGAGGCTGGTTCTTCACAATGCCCTCCAGATGGCTCCCGGCATGGTGCATCTCTCTCTGCAGGTGTCCAGGCTCTTCTCAGTCCTTAGGTGGTGGAAATGATTGCTCAGGACCATACTTTTTCCTTTTTAAAAACAAGGATATTGTGACTTCCATTTTCTAACCCTTGGAGGTTGCTGGCTCCAGTGTCTCAGCAGTGATGCCATGAGGCTGGCTCTGTGGCACCTGTCAGCCCCCCAGAAGCTGTCATTTGTCCTTGCTGAGCTGGGGACTGCCTCTCTCCAAGGGCTGTGCCACCATGTCTCCCTCCTGTGTTCTCTGGACAAGGTATTATACTTCATTGATCAAAAGCTCCTGCTCTCCAGAAGGCTGATTCTATTTTTCAAGATTTGGTTTTGAGGGCAGTTTGTTTTTAACCGTTACATGTGATTGGACTTCAGTTTCATTGTTATGTATACTTAGCAGGTTTTAAAAAAAACAGTTATTTGGACATTTGTTATTATGGTCTGCTGGTAATTGAAACATCTGTTAAATTGTATTAGCAAATTGAACATCTGTATTACAGCAATACAGCATATTAGTAACTTCAACAGCTTTTATTGATTCACCTTGTTAAGCAGGAAAATAATCCTTGTAGCTTATAAAGCTCCTGGAAGTTCTAGTAGGTGCCATTTTGGAAGTGAATTGGGTCGAATAAATGAAGGCAGATGTCAAGCATTTAATTGGCTCTTTGCTCCCAGCTGACTCTGTCAATTTTGGAACCATTGTCAGAGATGATATAATTCACCCATATGAAACTGACAAGGTGAGTTCGATGCTGTTGGTCTCTAGGGAGGAGGGGCTGGCTATGCAGAGTTAATGTTTAATACCTGGCTAATGCCACTTATATTAGTCAGGGTTCTCTTAGGGGGACAGAATTAACAGGATACCTATAGGAGATATGTGTGTGTGTATGTATATATATATGAGTTTATTAAGTATTTTATATATATACGTGAAGGGGAATTTATTATTATATATATGTATAAAGGGGAGTTTATTAAGTATTAACTTACATAATTGCAAGGTCCCACAATAGGCTCTCTGCAAGCTGAGGAGCAAGGAGAACCAGTCTGAGTCCCAAAGCTGAAGAACTTGGAGTCCGATGTTCAAGGGCAGGAAGCATCCAGCATGGGAGAAAGATGTAGGCTGGGAGGCTAGGTCCATCTCTCCTTTTCACGTTTTTCTGCCTGCTTTATATTTGCTGGAAGCTGATTAGATTGTGCCCACCAGATTAAGGGTGGATCTGCCTTCCCCAGCACACTGACTCAAATGTTAAACTCTTCTGGCAACACCCACATAGACACACCTGGGATTAATACTCTGTATCCCTCAATCCAATCAAGTTGACACTCAGTATTAACCATCACACCACTGTAGCTTGGTCTTCACAGAGTTTTCTACTAAAGTTCCTTCAGTAGCAGAAGAAAGGCTGTGGCAGCTGACCCCGAGTGGTCCACAACATTTGTTTTAAAATCTTGAGGCTTATGTGAAATGTTCAATTGCTTTTGTTTTCTACTCCATGTTCACATTTTCCTCCAAATCTCCATCTAAAAAGGTTTGACTGGGAAGAGGCCTCTTTTATAATTCTGTGGATTCTGGAACCCTCAGGCTCAAATACTGGCCTTGAGAGGCAGATATAAAAATGATGATCAAAGGGGTATAAAAAAGACACTAGAAAACAACCAAAGTAACTTTGGTGCTTAAAATGTGATTCTTGTACATTTTAAAATAACTAAAAGAGTAGAATCAGATTGTTTGTGACACAAAGGATGTAATGCTTGAGGGGACATATACATCATTTTTTGTCTTTCCTTTTTTTTTTTTTTTTTAAGACAGAGTCTCACTCTGTTGTCCAGGCTGGAGTGCAGTGGTGCACCCATGACTCACTGCAGCCTTGACCTCTAGGACTCAAGTGATCCTCCAGCCTCAGCCTCTCAAGTATTTGGGATGACAGGCATGTGCCACCACACCCAGCTAATTATTTCGTATTTTTCACAGAGATGGGGTTTCACCATGTTGCCCAAGCTGGTTTTGAACTCCTGGGTTCAAGCGATCCGCCCACCTCTGCCTTCCAGAGTGCTGGGATTACAGATGTAAGTGCTCTGCTGGATACTCCATTAATATGCATTGCATGCCTGTATCAAAACATCTCAGATATCCTATAAATATATACATTTACTATGTACCCACAAATCTCATGCCTGTAATCCCAGCACTTTGGGAGGCCAAGGCAGGCGGATTACTTGAGGTCAGGAGTTTGAGACCAGCCTGGCCAACATGGCGAAACCCTGTTTCTACAAAACACAATGATTAGTAAGGCATGGTGGCTCACACCTGTAGTCCCAGCTACTTGGGAGGCTGAAGCAGGAGAACCACTTGAACCTGGGAGGTGGAGCTCACAGTGAGCCAAGATTGCACCATTGCACTTTAGCCTGGGTGACAGAACGATAATCTGACTCAAAAAAAGGTAATTCTTACTCATTGGATTTGTCAATATTGGTGTGTATCCTGCTGTGTCCCCAAACATTGGGATATATCCTGTTTTGTGTCAACAACAGGCCACCTCTGAAACATCTGTGAAGCCTGCTTCATGTGAGAGTGGTCAATCTTTCCTGTTCAGTAAATTCAGCTCTAAAAATATCACCTGCTTTCCCCACAAATCATCTTCCTTTGCACCTTGTCAGTGGCTCTGTGCTGTGAAGCTGCCCCTCTGTTGGCCAGTTTGCTGTATGCACATCATCCTCTCTTGGCTTTCTCTCCAGTTGTGGCTGTTTACATAAAGGGATCCTTGTGGTCCACGGAAGATGCACTAGGAACCTCTGATCCTGCAAGAGAAGGGTTGATGAAGGTGAGTTGATGCAATTTTAAATGAACATTGTAAAAGAGGTTTTAAAAGTCACAGTGCTTACTTGATAATTTGATAATTTAAAGCAGTCTAGCCATGTCTTCATTTCCTAGTACCACAGAGTACCACAAAACAGAAATGTATTGTCTCACAGTTCTGGAGGTTGGAAAGTCTGAAATCAAGCAATCGACAGGGTTGTTTTCTTTTGAGGGCTGTAAATGAGAATCTGTTCCTGGCTTCCCTCCTAGCTTCTAGTAACCTCAGGGGTTTCTTGGCTTGTAGATGACCTTCTCCTTGTATTTCCACATCGTTCTCTATGTGTGTGTCTGTCTCTGTCAAAATCCTCCTTTTTTATAAGGACACGAGTCATATTGGATTAGAGACCAACTGAATCCCCTCATGTTGATTGATCAGCAGACTCTATTTCCAAATAAGGTCACATTCACACAACTGGGAGTTAGGATGTCAACAGCTTTTTGGGGGTGATAATTCAATCCATAACACCCTGCTAGCAAGGAAAACAGCACTCAGTGCTATGTATAACAGATATCTGGCTACTGATAAGTCTATTTTACTTTCCCAAGTGGCCTCTCATGTCTAAGTTTTAAAACTTTAATATACACCATCTCTCTGTTGTATGGGAAACTTCTGCTTAGTACATTCAGGTAATGTTTATTGGCACTTAGCATAAGTTAGAATTATAGCAGATATTATCCTGTATGTTACCTCAGCCTCTATAGAGCTTATCTAATGTCAGAACCTTCAAGGTATTTGTTTTGCAGATGAACACATTGAAACTGAGTCACACAGCCAGTAAGTGATTTAGCTGGGTACAAACATCTGTCTCCTTGACATCAGACCTGGTGATCTTTGAAGAGCTGTGCCTCTGTTGAGCAGTTGTAAAGCAGAGACCTGCAATGGCAGGTGTGAAGGCAGGAGCCAGAGGAGCTTCTCAGAGGTCCAGGTGGTGTCCTCTTGGCTGAACTTTGGCTGGGGCCAAGGCTAAGGAGGAAGCCAGTACCCAGCTGAGAGTTTGGACTGTGTGCCTCACATTCACCCATTTTCATTTGACTGGTATATTTATCTTAATTCCATAGGTGGGAAGAAGGATGATGCTTCCCTGCAGTCTTGAAATGTGTGATCTTGTTTACAGTTATCTGGCATGCCATTCGGTTCCCTTCATAGAGCCCTGTAAATAATGAATGAAATATCAGTTTTCTTTCAGGTTCAGTATGGAGAATGGCTAAGAAACAAAATACAATTAAAAGATAAAGAAAAAAAAGTCAAGACCTAAAGTTCTAAAGACAGAGAGGGGAAATAGTCTCAGGCACAACACTTCAAAGATCTCCAGCCTGATGTCAAGGAGATGGAAGTTTGTACCCAGCTACCTCACTTACTGGCAGTGTGACTCAGCCTCGATGTCTTCATCTACACACAAATACCTCGAAGGTTCTGAAATTAGATAATCCCTATAAGAGGTCTCAGGTAATGTTCCCAAGTTGTTAATCCAGGTTTTATTTTATTTTTATTTTTTTTTTCTGCTGAGCAATTAAAAAAAATTAGTTCTTGGCCGGGCGCGGTGGCTCAAGCCTGTAATCCCAGCACCTTGGGAGGCCGAGACGGGCGGATCACGAGGTCAGGAGATCGAGACCATCCTGGGTAACACAGTGAAACCCCGTCTCTACTAAAAATACAAAAACTTAGCCGGGCGAGGTGGCAGGCGCCTGTAGTCCCAGCTACTCAGGAGGCTGAGGCAGGAGAATGGCGTGAACCCGGGAGGCGGAGCTTGCAGTGAGCTGAGATCCGGCCACTGCACTCCAGCCTGGGTGACAGAGTGAGACTCCGTCTCAAAAAAAAAAAAAAAAAAAAAAAAAAAAAAAAATTAGTTCTTGATTTTTTTCTAAACAAGAGCTTCATTAAGATAAATTCACACATCATAAGCTTCATTCTTTTAAAGTGCACAATGCAGGGAGTTTTAATATATTCACAACGTTGTATATCAATCACCACTAATTCCAGAACATTTTCATCATTTTAAAAAGAAGCTTTCTACCCATTAGCATCACTCCTCATTCCTGTCTTTCCCCAGTCCCTGGAAACCATTAATCTGCTTTCTGTCTTTATGGATTTGCCTATTCTAGATATTTCCTATAAATGGAATCATATGACAGGTGGTCTTGTGTAAACAGCCTCTTTAACTTGACAAAATCTTTTCAGAGTTCATCCACTGTAGCATGCATCAGTACTTCATTCTTTTTTGGGGGGTGAATAATAGTCCATTGTATGGATATACCACATTTCATTTATCCATTTTTCAGTTGATGGACATTTGAATTGTATCCACTTTTTGACTATGATTAATAATACTTCTATAAGCATTTGTATGTAAGTTTTTGTGAGATACATATTTTCAGTTCTCTTGAGTATATATCTAGGAGTGGAATTGCTGGTCATGTGGTAACTCTACATTTCATATATTGAGGAATTGTCCAACTACCTTCCCCAGCAGCCACACCATTCTGTACTCTCAACAGCAGTGTCTGAGGGTTTCAGTCACTCCATATCCTCACCAGCACTTGTTATTGTCTTTTTAATGTTCTCCATCCTAGTAGGTGTGAAGTAGAATCTCACTGTAGTTTTAATTTGCATTTCCATGATGGCTAAGGATGGTGAGCATCTTTTCATGTGCTGATTGGCCATCTATAGATCCCCTTTGGGAAAATGTTTATGAAGATCCTTGGCCCACTTTTTAATTGGGCTATTTGACTTTTTACTATTGGGTTGTGAGAGTTTTTCATATGCAGAGTCTCATATGCAGAGTTTTTCATATGCGTAATCCTTATCACATATATGATTCGCAGTTATTTTTTTCCCATTCTATGAGTTGTCTTTTTTAGGTCTCGTTTTAATTGACTCCGTAGATATTATTTTGAAAAGGTTTTTCTTCCAGCACATTAGAGATGGCCTGAGATTCAGCAAGTGAGCATGACGTACCCAGTGTGGTGCTTGGCATCTTGGTTTGCGTTGCTGTCCCAGCTCTGGTGCCGCAGGTGGGCCAGGTGCCACTTAATGATTGACTGTTCTGAATGCTATGAAGAATGTGAATGGCTCCTTAAATAATTTTTTCAGAACAAGAGTTGTTACTTCCTTCATTTGTCATCTCTTCTTCTAAGTTTAAATGAGAAAACCCCCACATTTTCTGAAAATGTGGCCTATATTATGAACAGAAAGAAACTTGGGTGTTATTTCCACTTAATGAACCATGTTGTAAAGATCTATCCTACCCCAGCTGTACAAGGGAATATTTCCTCTCTCTGTAGAACTTTAGGTCTTGACTTTTTTTCTTTTTCTTTTAATTACATTTTGTTTCCTAGCCAGCTTTTCTTCACAAATTACCAAAAAAACCCCCACAAGATTTCTTAATGTTTTTCCTGTTAACTTAATTAGTGGTCCTGATGAGGGATGTGAACTGGAACTTAGTTTTGTGTTTTCAGAAACATTTCTGAGTCAAAAATCACATGTCACATGTTTTCCTCCCCCGTAATGAAATTGGACAAATTAAGTACATTTTCTTTCTCCTCCTTTTTCTCCTGCCAGTTTTTGATTGGATATTTCCCTTCTGCCAGATGCAATCTGCTTTTGTCTTCTGGCTTTCTTCTGAACTTTTTGGTTTTATAAGTTGAAAAATATAACCTCCCCCACGACACCAATCTGGTTTTGTGACTAGCTAGTTATTCTTAATGTCTGAACTTGATTTGGCTGCCGCTGTCTGAGATACAAAATGTGATGGCTTCTCAGAGCCAAGCTAGTGTGGTTTTCACTAATCTTTTTCTCATTTAAGATTTAACTCCAGATGAAGGTGAAATATTTTACATTCTGGCCAATTCATAAGTTTATTGGCACTGAACACTTCTTGCCATTTGCCGCAAGCTGCCTTATTTTTATTACCAGAGCATTTGAAAAACATGCATGTATTTTAGAGACCACATGAAGGATCTTATCCCTTGACTGGAGGGGGAAACCAAGACTCAAAGAGGTTGTGAATTGCTGAAGATCTCCCAGCAAATCCAGGGTAACAACCCACAAACCACAAACGATGAGGATGATAATCCAAGGGTCAAGTATTAAATATAAAATGAAGTATTAACATTTGTATTATCCTCTTTCCCCAAATCTCATTTCTAATGGATGAAGATGAAGAAGGAAATCGCTGGCTGGACTGGAAAGCCCCAGTCTGTTGTTTTGTGCCTGCCTCTGACAGATCCCTTGTCCAGCTGTCTCAAGTCCTCTTTGAAATGAGGCAGGGAAATCAATAAATGTAATCACCCTCTTTGAGCCTCAATTTCCCCACCTATGAACCAGGACCTCCCCAGCGAGGTGGTGAGAATCAAATGGGAGCATGTGGGTGGATGTCATGGACCAGTTAGTGGCCTTGTTGATCTAGAGGTAATGCATAGGATGAAGTGACAAATACACACACGCAGAGGCTGTCACCTAGCAGTGTTGCAGAGTAAATTCCAATACAACAGTATTGTCACTTCGTAAATAGCTGATTGGTTTCACCTCGTGCCACATTTTAGCAGTTGCTCGTGACTGTCTGAAGGGCTGCGTTAAGGAGGCTTCTGAGACCGTGTCCACGCTTAGCTGGACAGATAGGTCTGCTCTGAATCCAGGGGTGGGAGACCTTGGTTTCTACCACCTATTTGCCATCCATGGGCTACACAAATGCACAGCATTTTAATAGGCAGGAGTGTGAAGTCATTTTGACTTGCGAAGAGGAAAGCTTCTATCTGTGTGGGCCTGACTTTGACCACAATACAATTTCCTTACTTGTGATAACTTTGCTACAGGCAAGAGATGGTTCAATTTTACAGCCTTAGAAGGGGTGTGCCCCGAGTCCCTGTAATTCTCTGGGATTAGGACGCCAGTGTGTGCTCCAAATCGGTCACAAGCCGTTGAAACTCACTTGCTTTTGGTGTAGCAATTGATCTCCCACATTATTTACCCTCCTTCTGACGGCCAGAATTCCGGGGCCTGCTGTCATGAAAATGGCAGATTGGGTTTATTTCAGGACACATCCAGCGAGTCAGTTGAAATGGGTTGCCCAGTCCCCCAGTGTTAAATTCCTGTTTTGTTACAATGTGATGGATTGTGTTTTGTCGTCTCACATTCCTGGTCCGTGGTCTTGAGGACCCAGGGGCCGCCCCTGGTGTTGTTCTGTGCTCCTGGAGGCCGCATGGTGTGAAAGGTCAGTGGTGTGGAAGCCTCTGTGAGATGCCATGATTCACGTTTTGGATCTTTGAGCACAAAATGAATCTTCGATGGAGGAGCTCACACCTGGCCCCAATGTGTGGGTCACGTCCAAGCACAGAATTTATTGCATATGATTTTCCTCTCTTGTCTCACGTGATTATTGTTGCTCTTTTCTTTCTTTCTTTTTTTTTTCCCCCAAAGGTTCAGTCATTTGGGGAAAGGATTGTGCTTTTCATTCTAAACGTCATTATTTTTGGAAGACTGGAGAGAAATTTGGATGATGATGACATGTTTTTTCTACCTCACTCTGTGAAGGAACAAGCTAAAATCCTGTGGAGACGTGGAGCGGCTGTTGGGTTTTACACAACCAAGATGAAAGGTGAGGGATGCACGGCCACCACTTCAGGCTGGACTGAGGGGGGCTCTCTAGGGGTCTGCCTGGTCTGGAGGGTTCCCTCAGCACCAGCTATGTGGAGAGAATCTTTTCTCGTGGATTAAGTTGGGTGTAAATGAACCCCATGTATGGATTCCATTTCCACCACATTTCTCATCTCAGTGGCAAACATGGTCAAAAGCATGTCCCTTTAATTTCCAGGCAGTGCCATGTCCCCTCTAAAAAACACCTAATTGTAGTTAATGGTATAAAATTCATTTCTTTCCTTCAGTGTTACTAGTTAGTTGTCAGGAAAAATACCAGTGCTAATAGCTGACATGTGGAGCAAAAGCACCTTGGATGCCAAGATTTATAGACATTACATCAGAAGAGAGGGAGTCCGGCCATGATAACAAAGTTAGGGTGAAAATCTCTGACTCGAAGGCAATCACCAGTGATAAGTGTGGGACTAGTACCATTTTGCTGAAGGGATTTGTCTCGTCTTTTTTTTTTTTTTTTTTTTAATTTTTTGAGGCAGGGTCTTGCTTGATGTCGCTCAGGCTGGAGTACAGTGGCACGATCATGGCTCACTACAGCCTCAACTTCCCTGGGCTCAGGTGATCCTGCCGCCTCAGCCTCCTGGGTAGTTGGGACTCCAGCCACATCTGGCTAATTTTTGTATTTTTTGTAGAGATGGGGTTTTGCCATGTTGCCCAGGCTGGTCTCGAGCTCCTGAGTTTAAGCCATCTGCCTGCTACAGCCTCCCAAAGTGCTGGGATTGCAGGTGTGTGCCACTGCGCCTGGCCACCGGTTTTTTTCTTTAAAGTTGCTTTCTTTTTTTCATTCTTCCTTTTCTTCTCTCTCTCTTTTTTTTTTTTTTTTTTTTGAGATGGGATCTCTTTGTCATCCAGGATGGAGTGCAGGGTCGTGATCATAACTCACTGCTGCCTCAAATTCTTGGGCTCAAGTGATCCTCCTGCCTCAGCCTCCCAAAGTGCTGGGATTACAGGCATGAACCACCATGCCTGGCCTCTTTATTTAATTTTTAAAGGCTGTCAACATCTCTCACCTAACTAATTCCAGCCCCATCATTTGGTTGTCAAAAAGTTCTCAATTTTAACAAAAATCAGTCTACTCAGTAAACTGCCATGGATGTACTATGAGTTAGATGTTTTTCTCCGGCGCTAAAGATGCTGAATTTGGTTCTGAGCCATGTTCACATTGTGTGTGTGCTTGACCTGTCCAGGATGCGATAAATTTGTGTTTCTCACTTTTTTGTTTTTTCCTCAGTGAGATACAGCAGTTTCTCATCCAGACCACTTCTTCATTTCTTGGTTAATTATTTGCGAAGTCAGTCGTAGCTTTAGCCCCTGTGGCTTTCGTCTCCTTTCCTCATGACAGCCTTTGCCCTCAGATTTTGATGCCCTTTCACTTTTTTGAATGGTCATGTTCTTTCGCCATTTAAGATAGACCAAAGGATCTAGAGAAAAATTAAAATGTAAAGGAAGCTTTTTGTAACTCCTCTTTCCTGGGAGACTCATCAGTGGTCATTTTCTACCAAATGGCTGTTTTTGAATCTGTAACCAAATCATTTGTGGTGTAGACATCCTACTAATAATAACAAAAACTGTTAACAGATTCCAGCTTGATGTGTGAAACCACAGGTAGGTGGCAGAAAGAGCTTGACCTTGGTCTTGCCTGGTCCTGCTGCTATTCCTGGAGGCAGTGATACCAAGGGTCCTGATTCTGGGGAGGGACGCAGGGGTTGTCTGCAACTGCCATGCTCTTCCCCAGGCAGATTCAGAGCCTTGGAGGAGAGGGAGGATCTAAGGATGCTGAGCTGAGGCAGGTCAGACTGGGTGCTTGAATTCTGCTTTTTCATTTCTGATGGATCCCACAAATTCAGTGAAAAGTTCCCTGAAGCTGCTTGTGAGGTCACATTATTTTCATCAATGAACTGGTTTTTGAAGTGGCAATGGACTGTTAGTTACTCGGCAATTTAGTGGGTTTAACAAGTGTCAAACGTGTGTTGTGGCTCGTGCCTGTAATCCCAGCACTTTGGGAGGCCAAGGTGGGCAGATTCCTTGAGCTCACGAGTTAGAGACCAGCCTGGGCAACATGATGAAACCCCATCTCTACTAAAAGTACAAAAACCAACTGGGCATGGTGGTGCACACCAGCTACTCAGGAGGCTGAGGTAGGAAGATCACTTGAGCCGAGATCATGCCACTGCACTCCATCCTGAGTAAAAGAGTGAGACCCTGTCTCAAAAAAAAAAAAAAAAAAAAGTGTCAAACCTGTAGAAAATAAAATAAATAAAGCAAATGTGTTTTTCAGGTGTCCATTGCCAACTTTTTTTTACTGCCTTTTTATGGATTAACATTTTTAGGGAGACAGAATGAGGGATGGAATCAATATGTGTATTACCAGCAGCAATGTCTGAGAGTTACAGTTGCACCACATCCTTGTCAGTACTTGGTATTGTCAGTCTTTTTCATTTTAGCCAGTCTATAAGGTGTGAAGTGGTGGCTGATTTTGGTTTTAATTCACATTTCACTATTTCACTAATGATGGATGATATTAAACATGTGCTTATTTGATGGTCATATAACTTGTTTGATGAAGCGTCTGTTCAAATATTTTTGCCCATTTTTAATTGTTTTTTAAATTATTGAGCTTCAAGAATCTTTAAATATTTTAGATAAAAGCTTTTTATCAGATACATGTTTTGAAAACATTTTCATTTTGATGACAGTGGTTGTCAAAGAGCAAAAGTTTTAAATGTTGATGAAGTCTAATTGATCAATTTTCACTATTATTCAGTTGAAAATATTTTCTAAAATACTTTGTGATTTCTAAGGGTTCTTTAAAAGTGAGTTTTTAATTTCCAGATATTTGGGGGCTATCTCTGATGTTTTAATTTTTGTTGATTTCTAGTTTAATTCTGCTGCAGTAAGAGAATATAGTCTGCTATATTTTAATATTCTGAAAAAGAGAGTTGTTTTATGACCTAGTGTGTGGTCTATCTTTGGGAACATTCTGTGGGGACTTAAAAGAGTATATTCTGCAGTTGTTGGGTGTAATGTTTAGAACTGTCAGGTTATGGTGATTGGTGGTGTCATTCATATCTGCAAGGGAGCAAGAGTGGGGAGGAGACATGCTCTTTTAAACAGTTGCTATCCAGCGTCGTTTTCCTTCAGGCCAAAATACTTCTGATACAGGTTGGATATTTGTCCCCTCCAAATCTCAGGTTAAAATGTGACCCCCCATTGTTGGAGATGGAGATGGGGCCTACTGAGAGGTGTCTTGGTCATGGGGACAGATCTCTCATGAATGACTTGGCACCTTCCCTGTGATACTGAGTGAGTCTAGCTGTATTAGTTCATACTAGAGCAGATTGTTTAAAAAAGCATGGCACTTCCCATCCCTCTCTTGCTCCCTCTCTCTCCATGTGACACGGCTGCTCTCCTTTGCCTTCCACCATGAATGGAAGCTTCCTGAGGCCCCACCAGAAGCAGATGCTGGTGCCATGCTTCTAGTACAGCCTGCACAACCATGAACCAAATAAACCTCCCTTCTTTACAAATTACCCAGCCTCAGGTATTCTTTTATAGCAGCACAAAACAGACTAATACAGCTTCCCTTAATTTTTCAATTGACTTAGCAGCGAATTATAGATGGCAGATGAATCTGAATCACCTTTGTAAAGTCAGTTCTATTGACCACCATTATTTTTTTTCCTGAGTAAGGGTCACACTTTCCTGTTTCTTTGCATATTTAGTAATTTTTGGTTGAAAACTAGTCATTGCAGCAACTGAATTTTTTTTTTTTCTGAGGATTTTGAGATTTTTGTTTTAGCAGGCATTGAACTTGCCTGGATTTAAACTGCAATCACCTCCCTCCTTTGACATGTGGGTATTACAGGTCTCTCCCTTAACATGTGGAGACCACAATTCGAGATGAGATTTGGGTGAGGACACAGAGGTCTAATCCTGTGTAGTTCCATCTTTCAAGAGTGGGTATCTCTCTGGGCTCTGACTTCTTTTTTGCCGGATCCCTTGGGGTCTGCTCCACTCATATGTAGACTAGCTATAAGCCAGATTTGGGAAGTTTATGCTCTGAATTTGGGTCTCACTAATTCTGTGGTTCTCATGCTGCTAGGGCTTCCTCATTAAATTTCTGCTTCTTTTCCCATCCTGAATTCTGATATTTGACACATTTAGCTGGTAAGGCTGCGATTTTTCCCACCAATGTTTTTTTTTTTTTTTTTTTTTGTAGCCTTGCAGGTGGAATTAATCCTGTGGCTGGTAAACTGTAAACTCACAGGTTCTACCGATTTCGGTTGCAGTTTTCTGAAAGTAAATTTTCCTCTGGCTTCTTTTTTGTTTTTTTCTGAGATGGAGTCTCACTCTGTTGCGCAGGCTGGAGTGCAGTGGCACAATCCTGGCTCACTGCAAGCTCTGCCTCCCGGGCTCACGCCATTCTCCTGCCTCAGCCTCCGGAGTAGCTGGGACTACAGGCGACCGCCACCACGACTGGCTAATTTTTTGTATTTTTTTAGTAGAGACAGAGTTTCACTGTGTTAACCAGGATGGTCTCGATCTCCTGACCTCATGATCCACCCGCCTCGGTCTCCCAAAGTGCTGGGATTACAGGCGTGAGCCACTGCGCCCAGCTAATTTTCCTCTGGCTTCTCTCTGCTTTTGGATGCCTTGCAGTTTCTTTAAATATTTTATTAAATTTATTTTTTTAATAGTTATTATATGTAGGGATTTGCATGACCACTTCATCTCACCAGCCTTATCTAATATTCTGTTCATGTATAGAACATAGAATTTTGTTCCTTGCCTTCCCATCTTTTCCTGTAAGTTGAGAGAGGGATCTATTTAGATGAATTAAAAAACGGTTGCTATGCATGCAGGTAAATTAAACAAAAAGTAATTTTGATAGTGATTAGGTATATTTTGTGATCTTTTGTTATTTTACACATGTAAGTTAAGAAAATT